TCATGCCCCACAAGTTTATTTGTTTACAAGGACACATTTAAATTGATAACAATATTCTCTAATATTTTTATCCCCTTAGTATCTTGAACTGTTTACACATTTGTCTGTTGATTTTTATCACAGAAAATAATTTGGTTGGAAAGTGTCCCAAGATCTAGAGATGAGTTACAAATGGGAAATCATTATCTCCATTACCTCTGCAGTTAGCACCAAACCCCACTGCAGAGCAGTACTAACAGCCAAACACTGCCACTGAACATTTGACTCAGCCTTGAAAAATAGGGGCAGATGATTTTATGTCAGATGACTTTTGAGCAGCTGAATCCAACCAACCTGCTGTAGACCCAGAGCATTTTTTCCAGTCCATAATTATGTTTCCAACCCATGTTTCTCTCCAGAGAACTGCTTTGTCAATGGTGCTAAATCCTGAAGACAAGACTTGGGACAGACTGTACTGCTCACATTCTCCCCATCATCCACCCACAAACTGAGAACATTTCCACAAAAAACATCTTTCCGTATCACCTATTAGCAAGAGCTTTAAAGAGCAAGCTTATGTTTTTTCTCATTTTGGCTTCTGCTTTTGAATTTTAACACTGAAATAGATGTTTCCCAATCAAACTCCTAGCCTGCACTGCAGTGGTTGCAATCCTGGCTCACCCCAAAGACGTGGCAGATATTTTAAACAGACACTGCAGAGAACACCTGCTCTCTCCACAAAAGGCTTGAGCACTTTCTGTATGAGAAATGCCCATATGGACTTCCTGAGTGACTCCCATCAACACCACCAGGGCACCCTGCACCCCCCAAAGCCTCAGGCACGAGGAGGTCGGTGCTATAAAGGGAATGGCAAAGTATGAGGAGGCAGGTGGAGGAGTTAGCAGCAGAAATATGTAAAACACCATTTTCCATGCATAATTACTGCTTAGGCCCCCAGATCTTCAAATTCAATCACATCAGAGTTTCTCTTTTGTTCTATTCACTCTCCATAATTAAGGATATTTCTAGATGACAAGAAAATTTTAAATCCCGCTGGTGTGTGAAATAGGGTAACTGCGTGAAGATGCAGGCAGAATGAAAAACATTCATATGTTTAAATATAAACTTTATAAAGAAAAAATATGACAGAAATTAATTTCTCCTTCTCCATACTCAAAAGGCTGAGAGAACTGGTATTGTTGAGCCTGGAAAAGGGAAGGCTTCAGGGTAACCTAGGTGTCCCTTCCAGAACTTGAAGGGATCCTACAGGAAAGATGCAAAGAGATTCTTTACAAAGGCTGGAGGGAGAGCACAAGGGGGAATGGCTTCACACTGAGAGTGGGTTTACATGAGATACCAGCAAAAAATTCTCCCCAGTGGGAGTGGGGAAGTCTGGCTCAGGGTGCCCAGAGCAGCTGTGGCTGCCCCTTGACCCCTGGCAGGTCCAAGGCCAGGTCAGACATTGGGGCTTGGAGCAGCCTGGGACAGTGGGAAGTGTCCCTGCCATGGCAGGGAGTGGAACGAGGTGGCCTTCAAGGTCCTTTCCAACCCAAACCATTCTGGGATTCTACAGCAGTTAGTGGACTTATCAAGCTCATTTCCAGAAAAAAAAACCCATGAAATTTTTCTAAGTTATACATAATTCGATGCATTTCTGAGAAAAAGTTATTATATAGGTATTAAACCTCACTGCTTTACTGAATTTATTTTCACCCATCAAAATCATGCTAAAAACGTAAAAAATGTAAATATATGTCTTCTTTGTTGCACCTTTCTAGCACAAATAACACTCTGCATCCCTTTGTCTACCAGTTTCCAGCTCCTTTAGAGCAGTTTTCATCCAGCCTGTATCTTTTTATTTTATCAAGTTTAATACTCTCTTCTGTTGAGGCAGGAGGTGCATTCCCATATAACAGAATGAAATTAGTCAGCTCCATTGTGATTTGTGCTTGACAAATCTCTGCTGACTTTTGCTTACCATTTTGTTAGCTTCTTAGTGCTAACAAGTCCTTTATTTGTTCCACAACTTTTCACATTTGTCATCGGATTGCAGCTGACCTTCTTAGGGAGATTGAGGCAAGCAGCCATTAAATACTCCAGCTATCTTGGAAACATCTGCTCATGGCTTAATGTCCCCTTTAATCTGTTCACTTATTTCTTGATTTGAAAAAAAGGTTTTTTGCTGTAAAACATTATAGAATTTTTTTTTTTAATCCTTGATGCCCTTTGGTAGTTATATTTTTTCTACAAGTTTCTGTCTCTTCCTATCCCTGTTTGTGCAATTTCATTTATCTTTTTTTATCCCAACTCCATTTCACCACAGAACATGATACAGACTTCCTGTTGTTCCCATATATTTAATCTTTCCTTCATACTGAAACAATTTGCTTTTGTGCTCTTCATCAGCATCACTGAGAAGCAGTCAACTCTCACAAGTCTTTTCTCCATATCAGTTTACCTCTCTCTAATCTTTATTGACACCTTTTTACTGAGTTCACCATCTTTACAGTAACATTTTCTTTGCTGCCTTTTTGATGTTACTCTCAACTCGATCATTCCATAATCATTCATCCCATGGTATATCTCACAATGGGGTATAATCACTGGCTATAATCCAAACTGGATCAATTATCTCATCATTTTCCAGTAACTTCCACTTAGCAAACAAACTGAGGTATTAAAGATGAGTCACAAAGTTGTTAGACAAATGGCTTTTGCATGCAAGAAAAATAGAAATCACAAATACTTTAAAACAGATAAATAAACTTTAATCCCTTTTTATCTGAGCCTTCAAGTTCTATTTACTTACAAGTATTACTTTTTCTATTTCTGTCAGACCAAAAATGAAGTCACTTTTTCCTTGTGTTTACCTCTAGGTCTGACCCCTCTGATGGCAGTGTTGTTATTCCTGCTGTCCATAACTCCCCACTGTCATCCTTTGTCTGCTCCTCCTTTGCTGACAACCATTAAACACAGAAACACTTTTGTATTCAGAACCTGAGAACCATCTCAAATGATATTTCAGCTGCTGCTCCAACCTTCTGATTGCTAATCTACACCTGGTGCATGCTGTTACTTCAGCCCCTGAGAAACACTGGAACTTTCAGCAATTCTTCACTTAACCTGCCTGGGAAATAACTCTTGGCACCAGCAGGTTCAGGGAGGTTTGGAATCCAGCACATGTCCAAGGCAGTAATGCTGAAAGCCACTCAGCCTCCAGCGTGAGCTGCTTGGCTAAGAAATTTATCAACCTCCAAACCATTTCAGAAGTCAATTTGTCCCTTTCATTTAGAGTGCAGTGTGCAGAAGCCCTGCTTGCGTTTTTTACCTTAATGTACTATTTCCCGAGAGGAAAGAAAATGTTTTAAAGTAGATATAAAAACATCATTCCAAATTTGTAGCAATGTGTTTGTCTGTTTTCTGGTTTCTCCTCCAAAACAGAGCTCAGCCTCATTACACATTTTTTCCCCAACACTCTTTGGGATGTAAGAAAATGTAAAAATGATGTTTTCACCACAGCAGACCACTGATGCTTAATGCAAAGAGCTAAGTAATAACAACTGTTTGCACAAAAAAGCATTAGTATATATTTAAATTTGCCTGAACCACTCTTTGTGCTTTTTCTCATTATAACTATTATTTCCTTTTTTTTTTTTTTTAATCACTGGCAAAATAATTTCCTTAAGGTTCTCCACTCAGTGATTACATACAACCTGCAGCCCAAAACAATTCATCTCCTTTCAGTGCAATTTCTACTGGCAGCAGCTTGTCTGCCTGTCTCTTCCTCTTCCTGGCAGCTTTTCTCATTTAATTATTTAATATTTTACTGGTTTGCAGAAGGAACCAGTTGGGTGTATTTTTTTGGTTTGGTTTTCCATTTTCACCTTTCCCTCTTAATTTTCTGGTAATTGTCTCAAGAGAGGAATTATAGGCATGTCCTAAACGACATCAACTGGAGTGTCCAAAGAGCTGCAAAGATGAGAAGGGTCTGGAGGAGAAGCTTTATGAGGAGCAGCTTGGTTTGTTCAGCCTGGAGCAGACTGAGGGGATACCTCACTGGGGCCTTGAGCATCCTCCCAGGGGCAGGGGAGGGCAGGGTACCAATCCTGCTCTCTGTGCCCAGGGACAGCAGGGAAGGGCTGGAGCTGTGGCAGGGAAGGTTTAAGGTATCAGGAAATACCATCAGGTCATAAGAACTTTTCAATATTCCCCCAATTTTTAGTGAGATGTACTCTGAAGAGATATAAAACGAGAGGAAAGAACATTATGTGGCTCTTCCCTAACTTTGAAACAAATCTAAATCTAATTGCTGAAAACTAGGAGAGTTTTGACTGTGGCAGCAAGTGTCTGTCAGGACATGCTTTTACCTAGACTCAGAGCACTGCACAACACGGTGTTCTTCAGATCAGAGCAAGCTGCATTTGCTAAACTTCCAAGACACAAAATAAATGCTGCAATGCTCTTCTGCATACTCTGATGTTTTCAAAACACATGCTTCTAAGAGAAAAAGCCAGCCCATCTCATGTTTGCTACCACTGGCACCAATTAGTTCAATAAAATGAGAGTACAGACATAGGGATGAATGTTAAGAGTTTATGCTGAGAGCAATACATTGGTGACAAAAAGGTTTTTTGTGACAGGTCTGGAAGGCAAGGAGTGGAGGAGAGTTACAGAGGCACAAAGCAGTCCCTTCTCAAACCAACCCCACAGCCTGGCCCTGTAATTATTTGTGCTTCTTGGAGGAAGCTACAAGACACCAGGACCTTGAGTAATGTCTGGAGGCAAAGTCAAAAACCTAAAAAATTCAACCATTCTGTGCCTTTGATGCTTCACTAAATTTCCTATGCAAAGACCAGTACTTCTGATATTCCCAAGTAAGAATTGCAGGATTGCAACTCATGATTTACCAGCTCTGTCCTTCCAGCTGTGCCACAAGAACACACCACTCTTTATCTCCAATACATTTGCTCTCTCACAGCTCTTTTCTTAGGAAGCTTTTCAGCTGTTTGACAAATTCCTACCTGATCTGTTTGCCTTCCCGGACATCGTACAAAGAAAAAAAGACATCTGTGTCCTCTCCAATGGTGTTGTAGGTGAAGCTTTTCAGGCTGAGGAAGAAGTGATGAGGCACCGGCATCCGACAGGCTTCCCCGTGCCGCTGACGGATCGTGTCCACCTGAGTCAAAGCAGGGAAACCATTGGCACTTCCAGACATTCTGTGTCCCCCTGGACATTCTGTGTCCCCCTGGACATTCTGTGTCCTTCCAGACATTCTGTGTCCCCCTGGACATTGTGTGTCCTCCTAGACATTGTGTCCTCCTGGACATTCTGTGTCCTCCTAGACATTGTGTGTCCTCCTGGACATTCTGTGTCCTCCTAGACATTGTGTGTCCTCCTGGACATTCCGTGTCCTCCTGGACATTCTACATCCTTCTAGATATTCTATATCCTTCTATATATTCTGTATCCTTCTAGATATTCTATATCCTTCTATATACATCTACATATCCTATATACTTCTACATATCCTATATACTTCTAGATATTCTTCTAAATAAAGGACACCTGACCAACTTGACCATTTTAACTGAGAACCTGCTCTCTTCTTGCCATCAAGTAAAAGTTTAATCTCAAATATATTCTGCCTCAGAGCTAAGTGCTAGATTGAGTTTTCTGCCTCTATTTTTAACACTTCTAATTTGAATAGATTGATGAAACTGTGATAGCCAAGTGGATGCAAAATAAATGGTTTATGCATTGGAAAACCGATTTTATCAAATAAACCAAGTCAATCCTATTTCTCAAATTTTGCCTCGATTCTGGTACTGAAAATGAATTATAAGATTGGTATTGGGTGGTTCCTGATGATTTCCATTTAAAGCAGAGGGACTTCAAAGCATTTTTAGTCACATTTATTACATTATTTCTTTTGAGCGGCTGCAATTCACTCACAGAGGTCATTTATGTGACCAGTAGGACAAGGATAGTGACTGTCCCCTTGTACTGGGCACTGCTGAGGCCACACCTTCAATCCTGGGGTTTGGGCCCCTCCTTCCAAGGAAGAACTGAGGTGATGGAGCCTCTCCAGGAAAGGGAATGGAGCTGGGGAGGGATCTGGAGCACAAGTCAGATGGGGGAGCTGAGGGAGCAGAGGGGACTCAGCCTGGAGGAGGCTCAGGAGGGACCTTCTTGCCCTGTGCATCTCCCTGAGAGGAGGCTGTAGCCAGGTGGGATTGGTCTCTTCTCTCAAGGAGCAAGCAATAGGATAAGAGAAAATGGTCTCAGGTTGTGCCAGGGAAGTTGAGTTTGGATATCAGGGAGAAATTCTTCACTAAAAGAGCTGTCAAGCACTGGAACAGGCTGCCCAGGGAAGTGGTGGAGTGACCATCCTTGGAGGGGTTTAAAAGATGTGTAGATGTGCTCAGGGACAGTTTAGTGGTGTGTTTGGCAGTGCTGGGGGAACATTTGGACTTAATCTTAAGGGCATTTTCCACTCAAAAACAATCCATGACTTAGAATGGATTAAGAGGCCAGTTTGTCCTGCAGGTATAAAAAACCAAGAGTTGATAATATGAGCAATCAATCAAGCCAAATAGTAGAAAAGTTTACAGTTTGACTCAACATAACAAGACCTATTTACAGCAGTGAATGCTGAGGTGGCCACAGAAAAATGAGTATAAGCAAATGTATGCTTCCAATTTTTACAACCCTTTACATCCATTCATGCTGATCTCAATAAACAGGTTGCATGAATATCCTAAGTTCCCTATGCTCATCTTCTCTGAATGCACAGACAGGTATAGTCTAACCAAAAAAATCTTAAAATTTCCAGACTTACAATCCAGATTTGTACTGGTTCAAAAGGAATTTTGTTCTGGACTTTAAATTAAATCTAAGGAAATCCTCACTCTTTAAAGACAGGTAGCTGTGGAAGCACAGATCTCTGTAAAGATCAAAGCCAGATTCCATGCCCAGGACTGGATTATATCCAGTACAGAAAGGATGTGTGGAACAGAAGCCACTAAGCCACGTGTCAGCAGAGGGGTAGAGAGAAGAGTCACAGGGGCAGTGAGGCTTTTGATGTCACCACACAATGGTATCTTTTAAGAGCAGCACTTACAAGCTCAGGAAAAGAGACCTAAATGGAATTTGAAGTAGGACTTCAGTGACTTAAATACTTGGGAATCTTCTGAGGAAGTGTTCTATGGGTGAGGAATTACCCAGTAATCACAATCAGACCTTTACCCACAGTACCACGAACTTAAAGATGACAAAAAATTCAGATGTGGATAGTATTTACCTGTGATGTGCTCTGCTGGACACTGTGTCTACTTGACAAATGCTGTGGAGATACAAAATAGTAAAAATTAAACCTTTTTTGAAGTAAGAAATATTTACATTATATTCATGTAGCATTAGAGCAGAAATTCTAAAATATGACTTTCAAAATTATTACCAACTTTTCATGCCTTTTTTCACAGTGTATCACCACTCACAAGACCACTTGCTTTGCTAAAGGCTTTTCTCAGTTAAGCTGTTGCTTTATCTGACTATTTGAATTTACAGGGAGTATTTACCTTAGCTTTTAAAGTAAATGGCTGTCATAAGTTAGACAGAATTTCAAAAAGAAATGCTATTACAGTGTTGGGAAATTTCATTATTCTCTATAATCTCTGTCTTCTCTTGCAAAATGGAAGATACCTCACTACTAATCCTCATCTCCTGGTATAATGTCTGTGGAAAGATGCATTTGTTAAAAAACACAGGCATCTAGAAAGAAAGATGGATTTCAAACATTGTTAAAACTTTTTGCTCCAATAAGAAAATGAAATCCTGAAAATTGGTTAAAGACTCCTCTACAATTTCAGCTGCCCAACACATGTAAAGAAGAATCAGTATAAAGCACTACATGCCTAAAAACTCAGAGGATGTTGCTGTATTTAAAGCCCTTTGTGCTAGAAGGAGATGTTATAATCAGAAAATGGACTGCAAGACTCACTGAAGCCATTTAATCTCCAAAGGGAGATTTAAATACTAATCTAAATTGAAAAGGTTTCAGAGAGCTTTAAAAAAAAATCATTAATGATTCTGTCATGCCTTTCCCTGCACATCATCTTAATATTAACATTTTAAACCGAAATATTAACACTGACACTGCCACACATTATAATAAATACTCTCTTCATTCACCTCAGCTCCCTCCTATTACAAATTTTACATTTACACTCTATATCAGAATTAGCAGATGTGTTGACAAACAAGAAGCTTCAAAGCAGGTGAAAGCAAAAGATTATCCACAAATATAATTGGCAATTCTCTTCAACGACTACGCCATCTTTCACACAGAACACAAATAGGACTTTTCACCACAAAAGGAGAGATACTCTTCATAATGAGAATAAACCAAGGAGGTGTTGGGGTACTGAGGGAGCTGCCAGAAATGCTCACTGAGCCACTTTCAATCCCTCACCAGCAGTGGGCCCAGCTGCCCAAGGGCACCCCTGTATTTGACACTGGTGATGCCACATCTCAAACTCAGTGCTCAGTTTTCGGTCCCTCACTGCTGGATTGGCTATTAGGGAGAATTTTGTCACCTCAAGCACTGGGACAGGCTGCCCAGGGCAGTGGTGGAGTCCCCATCCCAAGTGTACCTGTGCCACCTGGGGACAGCAGCTGGTGGGGCCTTGGCAGTGCTGGAGGAATGGTTGAGTTCAATGATCTCAAAGGTCTCTTCCAACCTAAACAATTCTGTGATTCTAAATGGCATATTTTGACATCTGTTCACATTCACAGTTATAAAAATGTCCTCTTCCACACTCTCAGTAGAAAAATAATGATCTCCAGCTCCATTGTTTGTCTCACTATTTCATCATCCTCTGAATGTTAAAAGCCTTCAAGTTGGCTGAGTTGCCTATTTAATCTTTTTGTCACCTGCAACCACTCAGAATCAGCTGGCATAGAAAAGACCAGTTATTTAAGCTACTCAAAGTGTCCTGAGTTCTTTTGATTAAATTAATCTCTAAATCCAAGTAAGAAAGTGAGACATTCAAGCAACACAAACATGAGAGGTGGTCTGAAGAGATTCCTCAGCAAACACTGCTGCTTACAGAGTGTACACTGAGGTAAATCTATAACAAGAAGTGGTAAAAAACCACAGGTTTTAAATTTTTCCACAACCAAAGGAGTAGATTTGACAAGTCCTCTGCTTTCATGCTTCAGGACCACATTACAACAATACAATAATTGACTGAGTTAATTAATGTGCCCTTGCCTCTGGCCAAGCAAAGTGCCCAGAGGGTATGTGCCACTTTTGGGTACTTGGAGGGGAGGGTGACTGAAAACAGCCAACATGGATTTATCAGGGGTGCATTATGCTGGATCAAGTGATTCCCCTGAGGTAAAATAACCAAATTATAGATGAGGGAAGATGAGTGGCTGTTGTCTCTCCCCAGCTCAGTGAGGCTCTCAGCACAGGCTCCCACAGCATTCCTGTACCCAAGCTGTAAACTTACACCTGCATGGGCACACTAAACTGCTGGGGCAGAAATCCCAGCAAACAGCAGCAATTCCAGCCTCCAAAGGTAGTGGCTGATGGTGTCAATTCTTCAGGGGTCTGGCCTGAGACCTATGCAGCCTCAAATTCCCAGATGATCCTAAACTGGGGGCAGCAGACTGGCAGGGTCCTACTAAAGCAAGGCAAACATAAGCCAGGGGAGCACTTGGGCAGCAGGGACATTTAATATTTGACTGTTTCTGTTATCAGCAATGGAGCCAGCAGACTGACAATAACATTTATTCCTTTCTCCTCAGCACTGAGTAAACCACTGCATTGAGCAAAGGCCAGAGAAGCAGCACAAGGGCTTTGAGGAGGATGGAGGGAATGCAGCATTTTGAGTTTGGAAAAGGTTTGTAGGATCTGTGGCAGCCTTCCTATAACCATCCAGTTCCCAGCACGAAGAGGCAGCGAGGCTCTGCACAGAGCTGCACAAATACTGTGGGCATCAACTACAACATGGGATACCCCAATGTTCCAACAAGGAAAAATGTAACTCCATCAGAGCACCCATTAGAACAGGGATCCAATCCTTTCCCTTGAAGAATTTCAACATCCAACCGGACAAAGCACTGAGCAGCCTGCTGTGAATTCAGAATTGACCTTGCATTGAGAGCAGCAAGTTTACTTAGACCTCCCTGAGGCCCCTTCCAACCTGAAAAGCCTTCCAAAGTGATATAAAAATAGGACTGTTAAGAAATTATCCATCTTCATTCTAATAAAAAAAAATCAGTTTTACCTTTATTTTCCCTAGAAGATAGTTGTCTGTAAAGGTTGTGCAAACTTTAACTGATACAATGCTCAGTATATCTTTCCTCATCAAAGGGTTTTCTGATGCCTAAATTGATTCCTTGCTATTGTAACCTAGGCCTATTGATTGTTTTCCTATCCATCATTAGGATTAAAAGATTCATTAATTCAGCTTGTGATTCCAGTATAACCTCAAATCTCCTCTAGAAAACCACCTAAGCTGGTAGTGTCCCAATCTGCTCTTCAGAGCAACAATTGACTGCAGGAGTTGACACTTGGCATTTATGAATCTCCCTGGTATATTACATTTTTAATATAATTTCCTAAATTTCTCTATGTTATTTGGAATTCTGATCCTTCCCTCCACTGAAAGAATCAGAAATATCATTTCCAACTTTGTGGACTTTGTATATTTAGTAGAGCAGACTCCTTATTTTAAACTTGAAGCACTACAAAATGGAGGGTGACCCCAAGAAATTCAGCTAATTCATCCTTCCTCCTATTTAATCAGATTACTGACAACCACTCTTTTTTTCTTTTTTTTTTTTGAGTATGGGTTTTCTAATTTTTAGTTCTGCGTTTACATTACAGCAATTTCACCTAGAACTAATGACCTTTAGTGAATTTAAATTAACACAAACATTTAAAACCTTTATCAAAATCTAAATATGGCATCAGCTGCTTCTCCTCTATCCACTAGGCTTACCTATGTTCTGGAACTTTTAAAAATTGCTTATTCTGGACAAGTTCACACTCACTATTACTCATGTCCCTGCTGCAAGTAATTATTATTTTCTATTATTATTATTATTATTATTTCCCAGCATTTTTTACAGGGAGAGAAAAATTACCAGCTCTTCCTCCATCACCTATTTTTAAGGTGTGAAATGGGCTTGCCCTTTGCTGGTATTCTGGAACCTTGCCCATCTTCCCAATGCTTATCACTCACATCTGATATGGCTTCTCCAAAGATCCCAGCTGGAATGTGTATAGTTCCAAATCCCCTGGAACTGAAAACTTCTTGATAAAGTTATCACCTTACCAGAGTTTAGTGAGGCAAGAAGTGCCACATTATATTCTTGTATCATGTGCCAGTTGGTTTTCCCCAGTATAAAAACTTTCCTTTAGCTTCCCAGTCAGTACCAGGTTATTTATATAAAACTGTTCCTTGATACAATTGACCACATTCACTTGTTCTATTTGAATTTGTGCATTGCCTTTCTAATCTTTCTATTTACCCATTTGTGCTATTCTATTATATTTCTCTATAATTCTGTTCTTGTAAACTGGCTCTTGGTAATATCAATTTCCCTTTCACTCTAATCCCTGGAGGAAATGAAGAATTCTTAATTTATCCAACTTGGCCTGTTAGCAAGCATCTTGTGGTTTTGTTCTTAATTTACTGAAAGAGCTATCAATTCTCCTTTCCTCCATTTTCTCATCAAACTTCTTTCTCATTATATCTTATCTACCATTATCAGTGGTAGATAATTCATATTATCTATAATAATATTATCTACCTACATCTACCAAGTTTTCAGTATTGTTCTTCCTCATTCCTTTCCTAACAATACCTGCTGAGTGAACCCATCATTCCCAAGTCACTCTTAAATCACTTTCTGTCTTCATATTCTCATCTGGCTTCTTACTGGGCTTTAGAACCCAACCTACACAAACTTGTCCTCTGTGAATCTGCTTTGTTTGACAAAGGACAACCAAGAAAATCACAACGAAGATTTCATGCTCTTCCTGTCCAGTTTGTGTCCAGTTGTTTTCCTTATCCAGTAGAGTTTTGGGTAAGTGAATTCTTACCAATCACATTTACCATTTGAATAAAGAATAAACAGTTATGAGGTGATGGCAGTATTAATTTGAAATTATTTATTTAGGAACTCTGTTTTTTTTTATTAGGAACTTTGGTGATCTCATGGCATTTCTCTCACACAGTTGGAAGAAATGCCCAAGCTGCAGCTGTGCCTTCCATGCACCTCCTGAGGACCCACATACCACCTCAATAACTTTATAGAAAAGTTAAACCTAATTAATCACCACCTTTGAACATTTCTGATTTGTGAAACGACTTCAGACATTTGTGTCTTGTAACCCTTCCACTAAAATGTGCCATCCAAGTGTTCCTGACATTCTGCAGGACTTTGTGTTCCTAAATGACAACTTCAATCCAGTGGCAACTCCAGCACTGAGCTCTGTGGCAGAATTCTGAAAACGTATTTTCCCACCATTCAGAAGTAATATGTACTTTTAAAAAGTGTTCTGTCATATTGGTTAAAGTCACAAACATTGTCATAGGGAAAGGGCAATTTGCTTTCCTTCAGGAGCAAAGCAATAATTCCTGACAAATGCTGTGCATCCTGCAGCCACTGGCATTTAGCTTCAGAATGAGTAACATGCAGAAGCAGGGTGTGCAAGGCCTTACAGCACAATGGTTCTGCCAAGGAGATGAATGCAGCATCATCACCTAGCCATGACAAACACACAGCAAGGAAACATGAGAGCTAAAAAAGAGGCTCAAATTTAACAATTTATCAAGAGAAATGCTAAGTCTAATGACTGAGTAAAAACTGCTTGAATCTCTGTTGCCACAGAGAGAAAAGTCTGATGTGTTACCTCACCCATTGCTCTGCTAATGAGTGTTTTCTATGTTATATTTAACATCCTACAATCCTGAAAAGACAAGAAAGTAATTTGGCTCTCACAACTATTCCTGCAAGATTATTTTACAATATAAAACCTCACTGCTCATTTGAGAATCCATGAAGTATTTCATCACAAGTAAGGAGGACTTTCTCCCTGGGTTTTTGTTAAATAATAAAAACAATCCCCAAACCATATTAAAAATAACCCTAAAACAACCTAATATACCCTTCTTTCATTTTTTACCAAATTTAAGTTAAAAAATAGTAACAGGTTTTCAGCTGCTTTGTTTCCTGAAATGGCCTCGTGGCTGTGCAGAGATGTGATCACACAGCTCTGTCCTCTTGCATCTCCAGCCCCCAGCAGCAGTGAAGTGTGCAGTGGGTAATGGTGCTGTCCTGAGCCCTGCCCAGCACAGAGACACTCACAGGACTAAGGGGTGACATAATCAGCCTGCTCTGGCAATAAATATTGCCCATTTGCAGTACTCCAAGTATTCAGAGTAAAAAAATGTGCAGAATAAACCTCAGAGTAAAAAAACAATCTTCAGTTAGCAACTAATCTCATACCCTGAGTCTTCACTGATGGAATTTGCTGCTGAGTTATTCCCACACTGTACTGAAGGAAAACTCTGCTGTACTGGCACCAAACCCTGCTCAGACCACAGCAAATTAGGAACAAACTTTCAAAATTAGCACTATAGACTGGTGTACTTTCATATTTCTTATGCAATAATTCTTAGTTCTTTCCATGAAATCCACTGTTACAAGGTGCAAATAATCCAAACCAGCAACAGCACCCAGCTTGTCTACAAAACATGTTTTTGGTTTAAGGAAAAGTCACATCTTGCACACCAAACCCATCACCAAGCCATGGACCTCTTCCCCTAATCCTAAACAGCTGAAAGCCAAAACTGTTTTAAAACAAGAAATAAAAAGCTTCCTAGAAGTGAGTGACACTGTAACAACATTATGTAGAAACCAACTCTTTTCTATGGAAGATATTAAGTGAAGAAATTGTACAAAATAATTGCTGAGGGTTTTTTAGTTGGCTTATTTTTTTTAGCTAAAACAGCATGTGAGGCAGGGTTTTCATTTACTTTCCCAAATTTTACATGCTGTTTCTCCCTCTACAGTTAGACCACAATCTAAAACAAAATTATCTGTATTAGTTCTACTAACAGAGAATCCAAAGACAGATAAGTTGTAAAATGCATCAGTGGCTTTACAGTTCACTAATGGCACAATTCACATTTCCAAAACAACTTCAACTTCATTATGTACAAACAGGACTGTGCAAGTGACTAATAATGACAGAATTTGGAACTCACCCCAGTGAAGGAATTATACTACTTCACCTGAAAATCCAAATATTCTTATTCAAATGCACTCCATGCTTTTTAAGGAGCACTGACATACAACAGGGATGGCCTTACTGTTCAAGGATTAGTTTTGCTGAAATTAATTTATGCACTGGTCTCCCTCCTCTCTCCCCTTTTTTTGAAAGCTCAAAAAGTCTTTGCAACAGGGCAAAAATATTTCTTATCTATGCAACTACCAACCCAGACTTTTCACTTAGGTATTCTTCATCTGCAAATCTGCTCAAAGAATCAAATAGTGGCTCTCAGGAGCTTTCTGGACTCAGAGAACCTTCCAAGACTTAATATCACATTACTTTGTAAATTGAAATTAAAATACATCAAAGCAAGCCACTGCTTAGGGTACCAGAGACACTGTTCTGGTGGTCAGAGTACACAGAGAAGACATTTAACTTATAACACCATTTGAAACAAGAAAACATGTAGGAGTAAAGAATAAAAACATTTCCCCTTCTTTTCCTCTCACAGTGAAAACTCAGAGCAATCTCCCACAGAATTTCTTACCATTTTATAAAGGTCTGAAACACTGATCTGATCTGAATCCACAACCTCAAAGTCCTTGCGTGGAACTAAGTCAAGGCCCAAATGTCTGCAAGAGAAGGAAGGAGCAGTGTCAGTGTGGCACAGGAATGGTCACCAGCACCTCCTCCCTGTGCCTCCTCCAGGGCAGGGACATGGAAAGACTCAGCTATTCCAGTCTTACTGCAGTTGTTAACCATTGAACAATTCTAAAGAAAACTTCATGCAAATATTAAAAGAAATCCTACTACAAATTTGTTACTTTTTGTTTCCTGACTTCAGTGGAGCTCTGAAGCTCCCAATTAATGCAGGGAAAGCTTTTGGCCAATATGTTGGTACAGTACCCAAAACAAGGTAATTTTGTACATAGAAATGTAGCAGGCAAATAAAGTTCATATTCTGGTTGCTGCTGAAGCATCTGAGTAAGATCCTTCACTATATAATAAAGAAATCCCATTAACAGTCCTGTTCAAATGTGCCAACAGACCCCAAGCCTTGGGAAGCTGCTTTGATATTCCTGGTGTTCATGCAACTTCATCCCCATGTAAACAGAGCATTTTTTTGTTAGCAATAAACAATAACTGCAATAACAATAATCTTCATCTCTATTTGTACCACACACAAAATATTTTTAATTATTCTGAACAGAATTAATATTTTGGCTCAAATCAAATATATAAACTGATTTTTAAAAAAATGCAAAGATGGAAGGAATTCAGCTGTAGAGAAGGCAGTTCAGGTCACAGCTTCACACGAGTAGCAGACAAAATAAGATATTCTTTATCCAGACAAATAAATACAAACTGTTAATGATTAATTAAAAACTGTACACTGCAGAACAAGACAACCTTAAAGGTGACAAACCCCAAGTTTTGCTTCATAGATCTTCTATAGTTTCTGAGGCACAAAGAGTTCTGAGCATTACATTAAACACATGTTAGGAGTAAATAAAAAAAAAAAACCCAACACATGAATTAACCATTTTCCTGCTTTTGCCTTATGTAGCTTTGATACTTCACTTCTAGACATTTTTTATTGAAATTCTTAACAGTCTTAAAGAAAAAAGCAAAACTTCAGAAGAGGTGCCCTCATGAACTACCCTGGAACTCCTTCTGTCACAAACTATAAACGAAAAGCAAAAGTCAATTTAATTTTGTAATCAGAGAGGGAAACATTCTGCACAGACTTGTTCCTGATGGCAAATGAAAAATTTTATTGAGAAAAACCTCTCTGGTACTGTAGAGTAATTGTGTGGAGCAATAACAGAAGGCTCCAGGCAAGCCAGTGTCTCTTTCTGAGTAATTGGTTTAAAACAACAGCTGGGGAGAACCAGTGCTTTGCCTTTGCTCACCACAGTGCTTTCAAACCTTACCCAGAAGTTTCCAAACTCTATAATTCTTTTTTTGAATCTTTGTCTAAGCAGGTTTTACTTTTCTATTTATATCCCTAAACCATCACATCTCCAAAATATAGCTCAGCCCTGTTCACTTGCCCTGGCAGCACTGTATGGCCATTGAAACACCCTAGTGACAAACTGGAATTTCCACATTCTCAGTTCTTTGCTCAAATCAATTCTATTTTCAAGAGAAAAAAGGGAGCAGCTTTCCTTCTTCAATACAGTTTCAGGTCAAATACCAAATTCGAAATTCTAATGCTACATTGTGAAAGTCATGGTTTCACACTTGTTTTGATTAAACTTATCAAATACAAGTTATCTGTGGCCCAGGACCAGTATCTGAAAACTGCAGCTGCAATGATGAAAGTGACTGCATCTACTGACCAAATGAAAAAGATTCAAATAAGGACACACTAGGTAATCCTCACCTGCTGCTGCCAGTTGAGCCTACTTATCACAGAAAGTAAAAAAATATAATACAAGAAATGGTAAAATCAGTCAGAGATCACTGCAAAGTTTTAACAAAAATCAATTAATGCTCATAAAATTAATTCACAGAAGCTTTCCTGAATGTGAGTATCTAAACAACCTCCAAAACACCCTGTCATCCACGTGTGCACACCCCCAGCCCTGCAGCACATTGATAAAGGGAATTCCCCTCAGCACACAGGTATGAGCAGATGATTCCCTAACTAACATTATCAGAGCCATTGTGTGTGCACTGCAGTACCAGGACAGTCATGGAGCTCTATTAAAGTTTTAAAGTTCCCCAGGAAAATCTGGCCAAGCCAATCCCAGCCTGACAAGGTTCTGTTCACATCATTTCAGCTCTCTGGAGAGCTGGGGTGAAGCAGTGCCTGCACTCATTACTCAGAACATGACAAATGTATTATCTTCTGCTTAATAATGTTCAACACAACTGCAGCAGCATCCCTGTGAAACTTATCTAATACCCTATTTTTAGTTAAATCCCTTAACACTGTGGATTTTCAGCCCAGCAGATTCTCATTCTCTAATACTCTGTTAATCCTGCACAACACTTGCTCCCAGCAAACAAGGGTGTCTTGGCTGGAGCACAAACATGCAGCCATTTACTGTGCAGGTGGAAGTTCAGGTTTGTACACTCAATTTGTATCAATTATTTCTTTGCCTGTGAAGGACTGACAACATAATGCTTGAAATGGCAGACAGTCAGTGGCCCACTTTCCCTCTCTATTATCAAACACTGGGGGAATAGAAGAGCCCCAGCTGCCAGGCAGTATTTCTCCAAAACAGAGCATGCATAAAAATTACATAATGTACTGGTTTGTTTATTTGACAGTTCCTGTCTCCACAATAGTTTCTTTTACAAGCAAATTCTTGTGGTGCTCTTTTATTCTGCATTCACACTCAGCTGCCCTTCAAAAATATTTCCCAAGTATACCTACAAAATATCCCCAAGCCTATCAATTACCTCTTGATTGCATCTGTTTGGGATCCCTCCAGCTGGCATTTAGACCTTCTTCCTCTTCTACATAAAAGTCTTCACAATTTTCCTTTCTTTTGGGGATAAAAATTTTAAAAATCCACCACCTAAAATCTCTAGATAATTTTCTCTTAAGTAATATGAAATCAAACCAACTGACAAAATTATAGGGCTTTTTATTAGTGAAAGGGACAAACACAGAACTCAAGGTCACCTGGGCTTCTAGAAAAAATCAACTTGGGTTTAATGATAATTTTGAAGAATAGTTCTAATTTTTAGTACATTCATTTATGTACAATACAAACACTACAGCATTTAGAATTCATAAAACCACAAGTTAGGAGAACTCTTCCTAGAAGAACCTTGCATAAATATGTCATTTAACTTAAAAAAAAAATATATCTTTCAGATGCAAACAGATTGGGAGAGCTCATCACATCTCTGGAGGGTGCAAGATTTCATCCTTTTGCTCCAAAAACGTCCTCTTTACCTCAACCTTTTCAGCTTTAATTTTGCAGCCACAACTTTTTCTTGCATTGCTTCTCTCAGTATATCAAAGCCTCACTTCATATCATTGTATTTCTCTTACACAAATAAAGATGGTGAAGGGAAGGAAAATGATCCTGGCAGTGATTCACATAAACTATGTACAGACTTTAAAATAGACTTTGAAGGAAATACAATACAGAAATCCATGGAAAATGAAATACATTAAAAAAAAATGTTTGTCAAAATGAGACTGCTAATACAACCTGATACTTTTCTTGGAGAGAATTAAGTTAAGTTCTACAAAAAACTGTAGGGGCTGCAATCTACAAATAAATTGGTAAAGCACTGATGTAATGCTACACAGGAAATAATTTCTTAAAATGAAGATGATGAGATGAAGGTAAATAATCTTAGTTAGGATCTGATGAAAGGGAATTGTAGCAAATACTTCTGAGCATGGCAGTATCAGGCTATAGAGAGGTTATTCAGGTTTTCCTCAAAGACAGCAAAGTTCTCTATGTGTTTAATCCCAACTCCATCATTACTCCAAGCATATTCAGCAGAGGAAAGATGCTGCACATTCTGACAGAAATGGCAGCTGCTCTTCCTGCAATTCTTGAAGGCATTTCTTTGTGGTTAAGTTGGTCACTCCTATTTTGATCTCCTTTGATGTAATGACAGCTACTGCAATAAAACTGCCTTTAATTCTCCAAACAGGGACCATCTGTACTTTTCATTCCTATCTCCAGGTGCATTCTAGTAACTCTAAGCTAATTGTTACAACACTACCAAAAAGTCATTCTTATTCCTTTTATGTCAAGAAAATATGGCAAGAGGATAAATCAATCTAAGTCTCAAAATAATCTAAGAGTCTGAGCACTGAAAATTAGGGCTTTTTGAAATTCAAGATTGTGCTGACTTCACTGGATCACACAATTCCAGCTCTCCACAGCTATGGATGTCAGTAGTCAGTAGGTGTAACCAACTGCTACTGGTTTTCCAACTGCAATTCTGAGGTAGGAGAAAAACCATGACCTTAAAAGTGTGTTTCATTTTCTTTGTATGACAGTGTGAAAAATTTATTGCTAATATTTTGCCCTTTGTTTTTCTTTTTAAATACTCAGTTTTACCTTTTGGCTACCTGTGGATCTTTCTGTGCAGAATTTATGGCAGCTATTTGGAAGATTTCTTTTAATGCAACGATTTTAATAACATTTTATGGGAAAAAAGAATAACCTTTGACTAAAAAGTAATATAAGCCTACAAACTCATCTTGTTTATGGCTTTTATCTGTCAAAAATATCAAGGTATTGGTGGCTCCCCCTCCTTACTCTGTTTCTAACCCTGAACATAGAATATATATTCCACATTTACAGGAAAGGAAGTATCTTCCCTGAGTATGCAAGGAGACCTGGATGCTTTCTGGTAATCTCCTGCCAAGTGCTACATTCACCTGAAAGAATCAGTCCTGAAGACCAGGTGAGATGACCTCTGATTTTCAAGTTTAATTACTTTGAAGAAAGCTTCATCTGCCTTTCTGGCACACAAGGTATTGCACATACTGCAGCAATTAGCTTTTGGCACTAGGCAGAAGCAGAGGATTCACATTTCAAATAGAAGCTCTGTCAGGCAGATTCCTTCATCTGTTTTTTGATGCAGATGAACAGCTCTTCATCAGCAAAAAAGCTGCATTCTGGTTTCCCACTCTAAGCAATAGTAAAACTCAAAGGACTTGCCCATTCACATAGAAGCAAAAACCTAAACAAAAATTTCAAAATCAACTATCTACTTTACTTGATAGAAAATGATAGAAAATGAGATGAACTGAAGTTGCAACTTTATAATGTGACTTAAATGAGATGATAAACAGCAGACTTCAGCTTCATAATGTTTGTTTCCTGCTTTACAAGTTTTTCCTTGTTATTCACAGACCATTGGACACTTCCAACAGCATTTCACACTTCCATAGATCAATATTATGGCCAATTGTGTCAGAATGAAACATTACTAGAAAGCAGAAGAATTTGTAATATTCTGTATAAAACCCAGCAACGTAAGCAGGAAAAAAAAACAGCAGATAAGATTCTAGCTGTGCAAAATACACAGAGAGATGCTTAAAAGTGCAAGTCTAAAACCAGCAAGGTGCTCATCTGGAGGCAGCAAATTCTGATTGGGAAATACTAAAAGCTCTGTAGCAGCAATATCAGCCCTGCATGTGCACAAACCTAAACCACGTGGGGGGAAGTGGAACGAGGAAGAAAGCATGAATTAATTAATTAATTAATGAAAAAAGGGATTGAAAAAAAGGATGAGTCCAGGATCTTTCTTTTGTACAGGGGAGAAAGAATGTGTGAGCAACAGAAAATGGAATTGCTCCAGGAAGGGGCAATCAGAATTGTGTTAGAATGATTAGCAACAATACAGGGAGTAAGCAGCAATAATTGTAAAATAATATTCCCACATTTTAATAGGCCAAACTACAGAGCAAAACTTATTAATATTCACGGTAAGCACACAAAACTAAGCAAATAGAAGGTCTGAAAAGAGTTTAAGTGAGTTCTTTCACAAAAAAAAGAAATCTGTAGCTATTCATCCAAGGAGTGTATCTGTCCCTTGATCTCCACCAGCTCCTACCAGGACATAAGGGACAACTTCCAGAGCCACTGCCAGTGTATTTAAGGGAAAATTGTGCCAGTTCGACAAAGAAAAAAAACCTCCCTTACTGATACTGACAAGAAGTGTGAGTTTCATGTTTGCATCACTCCTTCCCCAATAATACAATTCATTGATGGTCAAGGTCAGGATAAAAGTAGTCTCTCACTAAACAAGCAAACATGTTACACATTAGATGTGTGAGATTATTTTTCTTTTCAGGAAATAGTATTCCATTGCTGCTAGACCATGGAGTATCTCCTGTTACATTGTACTGTCTGGAGTAATTACAGCCCTGCTCAAACTGCAGGGAACTCAATCTTCTCAGACAACATTAATACATGTTAATAACGATGTTTTCCATTTCTTTTATTTGCAAATCTCAAGTATGACAAAACAGCAATTAACATTATTATAATGCTTGAGAAAGGGCAGTACTATGTGAATTTGTCTATAAAAATCATTAGTGTTTTTAGTAGATTAACACAGGTGGTCATAAGTTTCATGATAAAACTAAGAGAGGGGAGATAGAAGAAAGTGGCCAAACTCTTCCAGAAGTTCTGTGGAAGAGTGATGTTGCAGAAATACCCCCAAAGTCCCAGACATTCAGATTTAAATACTGCATGTATCTCTGATTTCATGCATCTCTTTCTCTAGGGAGTTCAATACCTGTAGCAAGAAACAGAATTTTTTTTCCCTAAACATGTGTCCAGGGTAGATGAATATAATCCTGAACATGTTTACTGATTTCACTGATGCTTCTCCATAATTGCCATGCATTAGCTTTACTTTTATAGCTTGAATTACATTTGTATTTAATGGTTTTACATCAAAAAAGATCTATGGGCACCTCATGGAGCAACCTATTCTCTTCACTACTGCATTGCTGTCTGCTCTCTTCATCTTTTTTTCTGCACAGCATTTTTACAGCTTCCTGTTGCTAATTTGATCCAAAAACTCTGAGCAAAACCAGGCAGGCATCATGCTCAAAAACAGTCTCTGGGTTCCATTTACTCTTCTAGGAATAAGAATGGAAAATATCTGTAATTGCACACTGCACAAAGACTTGATACAATCTATTGATCTATGTCCTTCAGAGCTTTCTTTCCACAAGACACAAATGAAGTGCAGCAAGGGGGCTGCTAAACCTTCATCATGGTGCTCAGGTATGTCCCTCAGAGGGGCTTTGGGGTAGGTGACCAATGAGCAGAATCAAACAAACATAGCTTAATGAAACACAGTGGATTTTGTCCTTAGCTGTCAACTTACAGGACTCCTCCCCACTCCCACATGCTCATTAGCACTAATCCCACTCGCAGTGGGAAAGCAGCTACTGTTTGTCTGAGAGTGTCACGTGTGTCATGCACAACTTACCTGTCTGATCCACATCCCAGAACACACAACTCTGGTTTGTCTAATACAATTTATTATCATTTCTGTATGAATGAATTGCAGTTGTCTTTGCCTTTAAAAGAACCTCTCCCCAAAATCACCATGGAGCTGACCAAGGAGACTCTAAACCTCTGAGAAGCATCATGATATAAAAAGTCTAAATAACACAGCCTCAGCTCCAATGTCCCTGGTTAACTGTGAGATTCTCTACTTTTTGCACCAACCATTAAAATACTCCTTCAATGGAAGAAAAATATGTTTTAAATACCTCTGAACACATCCTCCCAGGCCTAATATTCTCTAGGTTGATAGCAAGTAAGTGAAGTGACCTAATCCTTTTATAAGTGCAGGGAGGCCTAGGAAAGCCTGCTGGAAACAGCTCATTTCACATCAAGAGCAAAACTCACTGTAGAAGACAAATAAACTCACTGTAAAAACTTCTACTTGATTTTCTAATAATCCCAAATTCTCCCTGTGCACAAATCCTATCGGAAAGAAAACACTGTGTGGTTTTTTTGTTGTTGTTGTTAACAGAAGTTACTGGAGAAGAAGGAGAAGAAACAGGAGGCAGTACTTACTCATTGCCCCAGTCCAGCCTCACTGTGAGGTGTCTCTTGACCTCTCGCACCTGGTCCTGTGTCAGGTGCCCTGAGAGCAGCTGCCTGCGGAGGTCAATGAGCTCATTCATCACGTGCCGCAGCTTGTAGAAAAGATCGACCTTATGCTTCTGTAAAGGCACAGTTTGGGAGAGGGGGACGAGGGAGAGAGAAAAACAAAGAGGCAGGGAAAGGGGAAAAAACAGGGGAGAGAGAAAGTTTGGAAAGACAAAGTGAGAGAAAGAGAGAGATTAATAAGTTACCCAATTTTCATTTAATTACCCTAGAGGAACATCAATCCAATTTTTACAAGCCTTAAAATATTTACATCAAAAAGTAGTGTTAACTGATGTAATTCATACTAAATAACTTCTTGTTCCTGAGGTTTAGGCTCCATCTGCTAAGAGGCCCATTTTCTGATGGAACCTAATGCTAAATAAGAGGATTCATTAGGCACAGCAGGAATTGCTTATTCCAATCATACAGCAAATGTAAAATTTTAGATTTAAAGTGATAGAGAGGTGAAAAGCTTACTTCTGTCAGCAGCTAACTGAATGGCTCTGAGCAGTCAGCAACAATGAGTCACCACAGCAAAAAAGCATTTTTAAATTATTTGTGATATTCCAGTTACTAGAATTCAGCCAGGTATAAGGGGCTATGTGGGAAAATTCATTAGCTGGCACTGTAAAAAGGACTAAAGCAATCAATAATAAAATTCACCAGGAAAACTACTTTGAAAGAGAAAAATTAACATAGATAATATAAAATCCTCACACCACCATCATCAGTAAAGACAACTAAACAGAAAATCGCCCCCAAAACTTACACAACTAACACTGTAATCCTTTCCAAAAAGAACTGGTATTACTCAATTATGGAAAAAAACCTCTTCACCAAAACCAAATCCCCCAAAACCAGACAGAAGTGGAACTACTTTTTTCCCCTGCAGGAAATAACTATATGTGAATTCCCCAAAAAGGAAAGTTTGAGGCCAACAACCAAGGCCATGCATAAGATAAGATCAAATAAGGACATTTGACCAAGTCTGTGCTGGGTAGGACTGTGTGCAAAGGGGGCTTGTCTCCAATACTGCACAGAACAGCCAATGTGCCATGGAGGAGGAGCCCAAGAAGGAAAACAAGATCTCCTGATGCACCTGGGTGCTGTTTTTTGAACAGCTGAGCTCCATTCCCACTGCTTTGCAAAGCTTGAAATGTTTGAATCTCACTTGGGAAAACACGGAGTCGATGGACTGACATGGAGACTTGAGCTGGCACTGGCCTGATCACAGCTCTGCTTGTACATGAGTGGATTATAAAAACCCTCTCAATAAAGACATCTGCATCTACCAAGACTACATCTGATAGAGGAACATCCACAAAGAGAAACATAAATGTTTTCTATTGCAACACATTATTAGAACAAGTGTTTTTCACTTGTTTACCAAAAATAGATGAGATGAGAAAAGAACTTCCACCTACTTGAGTCTGTTTTCCTATAAGGCCAGTAGATTTGGACATGACTTAGGAAAACAGACATCAAAGCAATCCATTTTTATAAGCATTTTAAAAATTTCTCTGAACCTGGTTAAGCACAGATGGCATCATCAGTTGTACCTATCAAACAATTTCGAGATGAAAAGATGCACAGTCTTTCAACTCTTCATCAACACTGGTTCTGGTCCCACTTGGAAGAAAGAAAAACAGACACCAGACCTAACAGAAAGACAAATTCCTGGAGCTGAAAATATTTATGCAAGGAAGATAATCATGCATAGCTGATAAGCATAAAATTACTCAATTTTGTTTAGGTTTTATTACTAAATGTGGTCACAAGTAAATCCTATATAAGCTGACAATGACAGTAGGTATGGGAAATGTCCATTTTTATATGCTATTTATGTGAACGAGGAAAGGTTGTCACTTTTTAAAACACAGGATGAAAACAATTGAGTTTGGTAGCATTATATATAAAAAGCAAATTACGTGTATTTTAATAATAAACCAGTTGGGAATGAAATTATCATGAGAATCAGGTCCCAAACCATCATATTCAGACTTCCCAAATAACCTGCTAAGAGAGCCACTTTCTCACTCCTGCAATGATGGTTCAAGGTTATCAAAGAAGTCAGGCCCAGAACACCATGCTGGTTAAATTACAGCATGTTCTATGGCTATGTTTAAACAGTCACTTTATACAGGAGGATCAGAAATACTTACTTTAAATCCAAATAAAGCAGACTACAGAACATGAGTGTTTCACCTGCTTTAAACTGAATGCACAAGTATTGAGAGAGGACACAGAAAAATTCAAGGTCCAGGACAAGGAAGGGAGGAAGAAGAAGTGGAAGCCAGCAGAGCTGGGGCTGTGATCTCAGGGAAACTGTAATGAACAACCATAGATGCAAGATCCACGATAGTGAAGGAAAACACTCCTGAGAAAGCAGAGTTGAAAGTGGCTTAATTCCAGGCTTGCAGGCAGAAGGGATTTTGAAGCAGTCAAAAATCAGTTTCTAACATCCCTACTCACACTACATGAGCCCAGAGACTAATGAGCTTCATTTGGGAGAGAAGGAAGGAAGGAGATATTCACATTTTCATGACTTCTCTCTTTCAAGATTAAAAAAAAAAACTCTTCAAAATTCAACACTAAGCTAAGCTAATCAGGATTCCTACCCCTGTAAAACAGATGGCCCTGGACACCACATTTACAGACCACCCCACCCCCCACCTCCCCCAATTTTAAGTATTAAAATCCTTCCATTTTTGTTAGAGTAGCACCATAAATAAACCTGAAACTTTATCATCTCTTAAGTAGTAAAATAAAAGACATACAAGTCAGTCTGACGTGTAACCATCCATTCTGTTTCACAGATAATTTTCATACAACCTCTAACCTCTCATTTTTCCAGCTGGCTTTATCACAAGCTCCCAAGCAAGGAGCACTTTATCAGTCCATCCAGAATGATCTGCTGTATGCATTTATAAACACATTTGGCAAATCTGGAATATAAAAGTAAGTATTTCTGCAGAACTTTTATGGTAATAATTAAAATGAGTCACAAGCAAAGAACCTGGATGGCTTTAATGAATTGGGACTCTTTTCACAAGCAGCACAAGCCTTCTAACATGTCTTGTTGCCTCATTTTACTATCCCCAGACACAAAAACATTTGCTAGATTTCTTTGATCTGGTATAACTAAAGAGTCAAGCTAATCAATGTTTGGATAATCTTCAGATGTGCAGCTATGCATCAAAAAGTGGAATTCTGGCAGTATTTTTTTTTTCTTTTAATGACTCCATATTAAGTCTGTGGAGTTCAAAATCCAAAAGATGAGTTTGGTGTGGAGTTTCCCCCACCCAGCCCCTCTCTCACTGCTCCTCTCCAACAGGCCAGGGCAGGGGGAGGAAATTACAATATTTGTGGGTTGGAATAAAGACAGGGAGCTCACTCACCAACCACCATCCCAAAAAAGCAGACATCCCTTGGGACAATTTATTTATTGCCAATTCCAATAGAGTTGGGCAGTGAGATACAAAGAACCCTTGTCCTCAGGAACCCCCTTCTCAAGCCCAAGGTTTTTTCCCTTTACCCCCAGCTCCTCCATCCTTCACAGAATCACCTCCTCCCCACGGTGGCAGGAGAATGGAGGAGTCAGTCCATGGCAGCTCCTCCTCACCATTGCCAGTGTGGCTCCCAGCTCTGTTCCCTGTTCAGCTCCAGTGTTTGTGGGGCACTTTGTCCCCTTTCTCCCCCATCTCCCTGGCCCAGAGGTGCTGTCCCAGACCCCCCAGCTCGGCTGAGCCGTGTGGCAGCAGCTGGGCTTGGTCCCTTTGCTCAGCACGTCCCCGTGGCCACAGCCAGCACAGCAGCTGGGGACCCCGGCCAGCCCACCTGGGCCATGAACCCCAACAAGGCCAGCACAGAGCAGGTCCTGGTGCAATTCCCTCAGGTGCCTTGGAAACACTGAGCTGCCTCTGTCACTCCTCTCGAAATAAATGCCACATCATATGAAAATATATAACAGACTGGTATATTATAGCAGATGACCTATTTATAGTCATTTTGTTACCATGACTTCATTTACCACCACTGTAAAGTCAGGATTTTGCCTCTCTCCAGAGCAGTCCCCAAAGACATTTCCTATAAAATTGCCTTAAGCTGTAATGGGACAGAAGGGCACAAAAAATTATTTTCCTTCTAAAAGCAAGTGAGTAGCTTTTCCCAGGATCCTTGTTATGGATTTTGGTATCTACATTAGTTATTAAAGCCTGCAAGCACCATCAGCACATGAAAGGAAATACTAAAGCTAGAAATAACACAAAAATCCTGCCTTTCTACTCAGTTTTGTCAGGATGATTTTAATTAAGCAAATTACTTTGTAGTAAAACTCTGTTGGAATTTAAAGATTTTTGCAATATTTATAGCTCAGTCTTACACAAAATCTGTAGTATTATTACCATGCAAACCTTAAACATCACCTATAAAATTAGAGAGTATTCATCAAGTGCCTGTTAATCAATAAACATCAGACTACAGGTCAATACAAAGTTGTCTCAAAAATAGCAAAAGGAGAATTGGAGAGTAAAAAATTTGTGTGGGCAGTACACAGGTGTCCTGACTGGCACCCACAGAAAAAGCAATTTGAGAACACAATTAATACTTGCACATATTCATCAGTTCTCTGTATGTGCCTAGACAGCTGGTCCTCTTGGGTTACAGAGCTAAAATGGACTTTTAAAACAGTTAAAAAATACATACAACAAATAAGACAAAGTAACATCAAGCAAGAATGAAGTTAAATTGCAACTTCTCCTAATTAAAACCACAAAGTCCATTTACTAAGGGTTGAGGTACCATGCTGGGGTTTTCACAGGAGGCCAGGTTTGATGGGCTCCCCCCTTTCTGACAGGGCACCATTGAGAGAGTCACTGGATCATAGAAATGTTAAGGTTGGAAAAGACCTCTATGATCATCAAGTCCAATAAACAACATCAGTCTTCCAAATCAAGTAACAGACTGAGAAAGGCATCTCAGTTTAGATTTGTCATTCTTCTGTCCTGAAAGTCTCTATTTATTAGTTCTCAATTTATTCATAAGGATGCACTATCATGAATTGCATTTATTTTGT